TTCTTGCCCTTGGCCTGCGCGTGGAAACGCGGGGCTTCTCCCAGGACCGGGCGCCGCTCGGGGCCAGGCCCACAGCACGGCCGGGTGGAGAGGAGGCGTGCGGGAGGGCTCGAGTCTGCGGGAAGAGACAGGCAGGAGGGTTAGGGCCCCTCAACACTGTGCCGCCCCGATTCATCTTTTAATAAAAATTCCATCTTAATTAAACCAGTACTTGGTGAACTTAAGAAGGTTCCAGCCACCCCAATCAGCCCAGCACTCCCACAGCAGTCACTATACCCACTTCACAGATGAGCAAAATGAGACCGTGTGTGTGTGTGTTGGGGGAGAAGCACTGTTCAGAGCTGTTTCACCCCCAGATGGACAATACCAATGAGCTCATCACCCAGCAGCCAGGCTGGGGTCAACCCACTTCTCCATCCCCATCAAATCCTTCCAGGTCCTCCAGGGGCCACTCTGGCTGCAGTCTGTCCAAAGGCCACAGGGGCATTGGATTTTGGGGGAGAATGTGTGTGTGGGGGGGGTGTAGGGGGGGGGGTCGAAGACTGCTTTTCTCTGCAATTTTTGTTCAAAAGCAAAGCAGAAACGGCAACAGAAAGACTGAGGTCCGGGGATCCCGTGACAAGAGGATGAAAGGCAATAGAGTCCAGTCTGGAGCCCGGCGCCGGCCCTTCCTGGCTGGGATGGGTGGGAGGGCTGGTCACTTCTCTAGCCCGTTTCCTCGCCTGTGAAATGGGACATTGCTTAACTCGCACAGCTGCTGGAAGAGCTGTGGCTGCAGTTTCTAGAATAGGGCCTGGCGCGAAGTATGTGCTTAATAGGCAACTAATAATATCCTGATATTGAGGTTCCAAGGAGACCGAGGCTACAGTTCTGTGCCTGCCCCTTCCCTTTCCCACAGGAAATGAAGACATCCTTTATAAGCAAGGTGACTTTTCTAGGACATGCACCTTTCAGGATGCATTTCTTAGGGAACTTTGCCCCAAAGGAGTTGGAGAATATTAGGATGGTCTTATTTTTTAAAATATGTTTTTATTGATTTCAGAAAGGAAGGGAGAGGGAGAGAGAGAGAGAGATAGAAACATCAATGATAAGAGAATCATTGATTGGTTGCCTCCTGCATGCTCCCTACTAGGGATCAAGCCCACAACCCAGGCATGTGCCCTGACCGAGTATCGAACTGTGACCTCCTGGTTCATAGATTGATGCTCAACCACTGAGCAACACCGGCTGGGCCAGGATGGTCTCTTTGAAAGGATCTGGTTGCTGGCCATGCACCCAGGTGGCCTGGGGCTGAGGCGAAAAGGTCATCTTTCCCACCTCCTCCTCCTCCATCCCAGGGGCAGTTCCCGGGGGCAGCCTGGGGGTGGGGGGTGGGTGATACTGCATGAGTCTGTGCTGTTGCTCACAGCGTTCCTGGCAGGTGCTCATTAATCGCAGGCACTCCCTGGCACACGATGGTCTAATGGTGGGAGAAGAATGGCACCCCAGGGCATGGCAGGCTGCTGCAGGGACCACTCCTCCCACACCCAGCCACGGGGTTCACTGTGCTCTGGGCACATCAGGGGGTTCAATTACTACTGAGGCTAATGGGAGGGAGGGCAGGAGAAAATGAAGAGGGAGAGGCGATGAGGAGGCAGGCACGCCATGGCCGACCCTCCCCGGGCCCAAGGGGAAGGCCCCAGGCACTGAGGGGGAAAACCATGGAGGGGAAGACCTCTCTCCGAACAGAAGCCACTGACCCATAGAAGACACAACACAAGGAATGAAGCCGAGGTCCCACATAAGAAAAGGAACTTCGGGAACAAGAGCCATTCCTCCATTTGTCAAACAGTACGGGGCACCTAGTATGTGCCAGGCACTGGAAACACAGCAGCCACCTAGGCAGATGAGGGGCCCACTTGGTGGTGCTGACATTCCCGACTCCCTTAGGCCTGGGTGACGACGGGGCCCCAAGGCCCCAGACTCAACCAGGGACAGGACATGCTGGGGTCCAACCCCAACAGGTCCAGGGGTCCCCAAAGGTGTGGACGGAGTCGGCAAAGAAGGAATGACACAGAGACAATGTTCAGTTGATCAGCAGCCTAGCCAGGACCTCTAGCCAAGTTCTGGTCTGGATCTCCAGCGAAGTTCTGGTTAGGCTCCCAGCCAGGTTTCTGTGTCCATGTACTCTTGCCAGGTTCTCCAGCCAGGTTCTCCAGCCAGGTTCTGTAGCCATGTTCCCTCGTTAGGTTCTCCAGTCAGGTTCTGTCCAGGTTCTCCAGCCAGGTTCGGTTGCCAGGTTCTCTAGCCAGGTTCTATCCAGGTTCTCTAGCCAAGTTCGGTCACCAGGTTGTAGTCAGGTTCTCTTGCCATGTTCTATCCAGGTTCTGTAGCCAGGTTCTGTCTCTAGGATCTTTTCTGCTGGGGAAGGGGTTAAGAGGTTTTATTCCCTCCCTAACTTCAGGGGAAAATCCCTACCTGGGGAAACAACCTTTCTCAGAGAGGTGACCTTGGTTAAAACACATAGTGCCAAGAAGGTGAGAAAACATATTAAGAACAACAGTATGCCATATATGCCAGGTCCCTTGAAACAGCAAGGATGGACCGGCTCCCGGCAAGGACAGAAGGTGATGCCCACGTAGCCAGGTCCTGAGGGAGGAGAGGGGATATTCCAGGCTGAGGGAACCCTAGGGGCAGAGCGGGGGGAGCCAGCCTTTGTGGGGAGAGTAAGTACTACGGTTGGCGTGGCGGAGAGTGTCTGAGGTTGGGCAGCCCACGCTTCATAGGGGCGAGGGGTGAGGTTGCCATCAACATCACAGGGACCAGACACGAAGGCCCTAAATGCCAGCCCAAGAGGCTCAGATTGCACAGCATGGGGGACAGGGAGCCAGGAAGGGCTTCCAGCCAGGCAGCCAGCATTGCCCGCGAGGGAGGGGCCCCCGGCAGCGAGGACCGGGACACAGAGCCAGGCTGCGGCCAGCTCTTAACCACAAGGGTAAGCAAGGGCCCACGGAAGAGCTAGTTCATTCGGACAGAAGTCAACGAGCGGGGAAATGCCACCGGTGAAAACCACCAGGAGAGGCAGCCCAAGGGCTCCGTGCAAGCATGCTACGGCCCCGTCCGCCCAAGCCACCAGCTCCTGGACGCCGCCTCCTCCTGCGTCCCACAGGCCCATTCTCTCCAAGGTCCCCGGAGCCGGCAAACTCTCCAGGAAACATTAAATACGACCACAGATCAAAGCCCTTCGGAGCCCCAGAGACCACAAGCCACCCTTATTTGATTATTTTGAGCTGCCCTGACATCACTGTTGCTTTTCCAACCTTATCTCTTAATCGGAGTTTCCATACCAAAGGACTTGGGAATTCTAAGCAGATGTTCCTTCAGAGCGGCCTCAAGATGGAAGTGGATGCTGGGCTGGGCAAAACACTGCTTTGTTACTATAAGGGGAAGAGGCCTGCAAAGCCAACTATATGTTAGGGTGCACTGCAGCCAAGTCACCAGCGAAGTTTACATATTTGTTTAATCTTGATGATATGATCCAACTTCCTTCAGGGAGTGAGAGATAAACACTCTTTTTTCCCCTCTCTGCGGCCAGAGCCCTGATGTGCGTTAAAGAAAACAGAGGGAACACGTTTCTAAGAAGATGTGTTACTTACACAAGGTGAAAATCTTAACATAAAAGATCAGGCAACCTCCAAATTGTACACCCACACCTGCTCTTAGCTCAGCCCAGGGAGAGTGGCATCTGAGTTGGGAGATGTCCACGGAAAACCCGGACTTCAGCCTTTAAATCACTGCAGGAGGACAGAAGTTTTCCCACTGCAGACACAGCTGATTCTCACAGCCAGTTGGCCTGGAGGTCAAATCCCCCCAGTATCAACTACAACAATCAAGGCTTAACTACAACAAGACTGCGCACAAAGACCACTAGGGGGTGCACCAAGAAAGCATAAAAAATGCGGAGACAAAGAAACAGGACAAAATTGTCCATGGAGGATATAGAGTTCAGAACCACACTTTTAAGGGCTCTCAAGAACTGTCTAGAAGCCGCTGATAAACTTAATGAGATCTACAAGAAATCTAATGAGACCCTCGATGCTATGATAAAGAACCAACTAGAAACTAAGCATGCACCGACTGAAATAAAGAATATTATACAGACTCCCAACAGCAGACCAGAGGAGCGCAAGAATCAAGTCAAAGATTTGAAATGCGAAGAAGCAAAAAACACCCAACCGGAAAAGCAAAATGAAAAAAGAGCCCAAAAATATGAAGATAGTGTAAGGAGCCTCTGGGACAGCTTCAAGTGTACCAACAGCCAAATTATGGGGGTGCAAGATACTGAAAACCTATTTGAAGAAATAATGACAGAAAACTTCCCCTACCTGGTGAAAAAAATAGACTTACAAGTCCAGGAAGCACAGAGAACCCCAAACAAAAGGAATCCAAGGAGGATCACACCAAGACACATCATAATTAAAATGCCAAGAGCAAAAGACAAAGAGAGAATCTTAAAAGCAGCAAGAGAAA